GAACCAATGTTCTGATCGGAATTGACCGTGCTCAACGCATTTACGACTAAGACCATAACAATAGACGACCATACATAATGCTAGAACGAAGAAAAATGCACTCGTGGGACGATTTTGACTTTTTTTCTCGATTCCGTATGACAAAGGCAAGATTTGTACACGTGCTACACTTGATTGTGCCTTACATGCCAGAGGTACATCAAAGGTATCAAAAGCTGTATTGAGTTCATATGTATACTGATTTAATATTTTTTATTTGTCCTTTACAGACAACGCTATATCTCACATGAAGTGCAGCTACTATGCACATTGCGTTTCTTGGCTGCTGGTAGCATGCAGTCTATCGTTGGTGATATTATAGGAGTTTCCCAACCAACGATTAGCAACTTGTTGCCAAAAGTGTGCAAAGCAGTTCTCGGACTACTGCCTGACATAATTAGAATGCCGCGGACACAGGAGGAACTAAAAACGGCGGCTGCCCTTTTCTACATGTTTGGAAATTTGCCAAGAGTCATTGGAGCCATTGACTGTACACACATAAAAATTCAGTCACCGGGAGGCCCAAACGCGGAAATATTCCGAAACAGGAAGGGATATTTTTCTTTGAATGTACAAACCGTTGCAGCAGCTAATCTCAAAATCATGAACATTGTTACACGATGGCAGGGTTCGGCACACGACTCGACTATATTTCGGCAGCAATTCGAAGCGGGCCACTACATTTTAGTCGGTGATTCCGGCTATGCCAATTCTCCCTTCCTGGCAACACCATTCGCAGAAAATAGTTCTGGGCTTCGCGCTGGATTACAACACGTACAAGAATATCAGCGGGCAATAATCGCCACCAGGAATTGCGTGGAACGCTCATATGGAGTGCTGAAGCGACGCTTTCCAGCATTGGCCTATGGTTTGCGTGTCAAAACATCGACTGCACAAATGCTTGTTGCGACCGCTGCAGTACTCCACAACATCTGTATTGATGAGAATGAGCAATTACCCAACACACCACCTGGCTTCACGAGCAACGAAATAGAGATCAACAGTGGTGC